GTTCATTAATAGGCATAGTAGATTCTGAAATAATTTATTTCGATATTTTTCTTTTTTGATCCGAAAATGAAATACACTCTGCTTTCGAGAGGGACCATATACAACATAATTTCGACCAACCAATTGTTATATCCATACCATACCAAAAATTATTAAAAGTACGGTACTATGGGTCATGACGGTCTGTCAACGTGGCGTTCTCATCAAAAGTAAACGTTTTACACACAACAGGTTAAGAATGACCATGCCGATATTATAATGTCCATTCGAAATTTGCCTCATCATTTAGGACTGGTGAATGAGGATTGGTTCAGTCGAAAATTTCTCTGAGACCAATTTGCAATTCAAAAAGTACAGTAAATTATTTTCATCCAAAAAATTAAAAAAAAATTAATATAATCTTTTAAAGAATTTTGGATATGGTAGGCCCACTCAGAACACTAATTGGTCTGCAGTTTATATGCCTACACCATCTTTTACAAATCTGACTGGAACCAAGCCCCGTGCTTGCATAAATTCAGCTAGGCCTAAGCTCTTCTAAGCATGGATCTAAGTTACACTCTTTATGAACTTCTAACATCATACACATTTTTTTGTACAGAATAGTACCGTATACAATGTTTTAATCTATTTAATTAATAATATAGCCTATACTTTAAATATTTCATATTTAGTATACTTTACAAAATCTCATTTGATTTAAGATTCAAGATTCAAAATTCCTTTTATTCACCATATGGGTACAAGTTAACGATACATATGGACTTTGTTTTCCAGAGACTATATAGAACGTTAAATACTGTACAGAGTGAAAAACTGTTTCCAACACACACAACAAAAACATTTTTCTAAAGCTAGGCGCTCACTGCGTATCAAACTCCGCTCGGTAGGTCTAAAGGCCAACTCAGACAGCGTCGGCCGACGCAGCCCGACCCGATTTATCGTCGGGGACAGTCGCGTAGTAGAATATTAAACGTGTTTAATATTTCTCACGATAAATCAGGTCGGGCTGCTACCATTCACGACGTGCGCTGAAACGAACATTTCAAAACATTCATTTGTCAGCACTTTTTATTCAGCAAACGGTATGAACGTACAGTTGTTCGATTTGTTCTTAGTAGTTTAACACAAGAATAATTGTGTGCAAAAACTGTCGATACTTTTCGTCGATTTGTTTAACATATTTTCCCACCTGCAACTCCGGTAGTATGGCGTAGGCCTAATATTGTTTTAGTAGTCTCATAGGTACATAATGGGCTATTTATTCTGTTTATTGGCTGCCAACCCACTCGTCGGCTTCACGATCTAGGAGAAAACACAATTCTACGTTGAGAAAAACAAATTGTATTTAATTTTTACACAATTTTAAAATCCAAAAATGATATACCGTACTGAGTCGTTTACTCCCTAATTGTCGGATTTTCCGGGTGCTATCGACCTGGACACCCTGTGAGGGGGATACGGCTTGCCTGGTACCGCTCACATATGTAATCGTCGAGAATTCGCCCTTACTGTCGGGTATCGCCTACATTTCAGGGACATTGGACCAAGGTCCAGAAAATCCTGATGCAACCATATTTTAATCAGCACACGCCATGTTAGTCGGCCGCAGATTTGTGTGTCTTGCGTCATACAAACGTGGTCGGAGCCATACAAACAAATGAATGCCGTGACAAAGAAAAAGCCCCCCTCCCCTCCCATCCTGATAGCCTCATTCAAGATATAGTATTCACACAGTACCGGTAGTGAAAAAGAGGAACAAAGATTATTGAACTTTTGATATATTATAAGAAAGAAGGTTGCTGTCAATGTTTGGTCACAGACCGGGGACACAGATTGTGAATAAGTTGCATCGAGACTATCTATTCGGCAATAATAATTATTTTCATGTTAGGTTCATTCACAAACAATTTTTAACTCATAACAATAACAAACAATTATTTTTTCTGTCCTCGGGGCCACGTGAGTAGCTTCACGAACGTCGACACAAAACGCACGTGGTTGGTGAGGATGACGTTCACAGAAAGAATGATACCGCTATACAGTGTTATGATTTTAGAATATAATCTTGTTAAATTAATGTGTGCTATACAAAAAAACCGGTGTTTCTTGAGCTTGTAATAGGCCAATATATTTTTTCTCTACTGGAATTCTTCAACTTTAGAAAAGAAAGTCATATACGTCATCTGTCAAACTGCCCATGCGTAAGCTTTGCATCACGTGGTATTTCCCCACGTTTACAACTTGGTTTGTGATGATGCTTATGCTTCGCACGGAGGCTGTGTGAGCATGGAGGTATAAAAATATGGAGGTATAAAAATAATTAGTTAGGCATAGAGACCTTATATATAACAACTTTTAATCAAAAACAATAGTTCAACTGAATACAATTCACTCTACAGTTTCCTTAACAATTTGTGTCTCAATAGTGTTTTTTCGCTCAAGTCAGTTCGAATGAATGTTGTGGTTAGATAAGATGTCAAAATCGACCGCAATCAGAGCGAACTTGGGCCGGCTCAGGTTCGGCTTACGTTCAGTTATAAAGTTGGGTCGGCCCAGGGCCAATCGGACAAGTGGACTTGTAGCTGCCGCCTCTATCGTCCGGTTTTGTTTGTTTGCCTTTTTTTTCCTTTTTTTTGCAGCTACGATTTTTCTACATACAAATTTGAATTTACACTTTTAGAATTAGAACAGTGGCAAGCAAATATCAAAACCTAACTAAATAATTAAACAATTGACAAAAGTAAGACGATAAAAAAAATTAAACAAATAAAACCAATCCCATGTTCTCTCTTTCGTTTTCCTTTTCACAAAAGAAATATATTGTAAGCCCCATTTCATTTTTTTTTCTTCATGTGATTGTCTCTCCTATTTCTTTTGGTCTTTGGAAAACAGTTATCGAGAGTTCCGCACTTCCTCATTCTGCGGTTATATAGCAGGTGGTGAAATCATTAGTGAAGATTGGTACTTTCCTTGAAATGATTTGTATAGCTCCTTAAAACAATGGCACTACGCGTGACAAACAGTTTCAAAAATAGATTTTCTTTACATTATTCTGTGGTAGGAGTTATGGATATAGGATTTTGCCTTTAGAGGTGTGAGTGGAGAAGACGTCCATACCCACAACAGCTTACCAAAGCTCTGGCTGAAGTTTGCAAGATTAAAAAATAGGACCCCTAGAGGCCCGGAAACGGGTACACTCAGAAAGTAAAACAAAAAAGTCCTTCGACAAACAATACTGTGCAATAGTCCTACAATAATTAATTCAGAAGAAAAAAATATAAATGTAGATATAAAATCACATTAAGCAGCCCTGGTAGATAAGAAATCATCTTTTAATATGTTCTTTAAAAAAATCTCTACTTTGACATGACACATTATACATACATTAGTTGTATTTGATACACTTGATTTACAATTTTTACAACAACAAAAAAAAGCGGAGCAGCGTAGCTTATTAGGTTCAAAAGTCATGAAGACAAGTGTTTAGAACTTTTAACTTTCAAAAAAATTAAAAAGAAAAGAACGAACTTTGAACTAGGTACTAAGGAACATAGCAAATGAATATTTTACATTAAAATATAGGCTGTTATTAAATGGTATTTTAAAGGACTAACTATTTTTGAATATGTAATTGAATAGGCCTACATTTTCAAGCTCACTACAATGAACTTCGAAAAATCATAGAAAATTTGTTTGTATTAAATTTTGCGCTATAATCCATAATTGTTTTTACAAAGACCCACGAATGACAAAAGCCAGCATACTAGTGCCATTTTTATTGTTCAGGCTTTTCTTTGCACAGTTTTATTTATCATAATGGTTCTCGTCAACATATTTATTTAACTGGTTTCATAAATTTGTTCTGGTGGGCTCCGGTATTTTCATTTCCTATTTCTATTAATGACTTTCTACTGCACAGAAACATTTGTGATATGTATTTAAATTACACTATTGTATGAAGTCGAGTTTCCTTAAAATCGCTCCAGTGTTTTCAGTGCATGCAGTCGTTGTACTGCGTAGTGCTCAGTCCCCGGCGCAATCGAAGGCTCACTGAACTCAACTCAATTGAACTGAACTGAAGCTTATTAGAACAATTTTGTATCAGTGGCACACACCATCTAGTGATGCATTCAAATAACAAGAAAACATTTCACAAAATACCAATAAATTACGAAGCCATTGCACTTAAGACACGTTCATTTGTTAGCCTTAAATTTGTAAATCACCAAAAAAAGGGTCCTTGTCATTTGAAGAATGGCAACCATAACTACTGTACCAGAAAAAAAATAAAGTGACCAACAATAACAATAATAATAATAATAATAATAATAATAATAATAATAATAATAATAATAATAATAATAATAATTTTTTCTTTATTTCATTCTTATTTCTTTTAATTTTCCCTTTTCTTCCTCAGATGTGTATAAGAGACAGCCTCCCCTCCCATCCTGATAGCCTC